ATGACGAGCCCATATATACATTGAGTGCGCGCGGTTATCGCCATTAAGCCCCGTTTCCCGTACGTTGTAAAATGAAATATTGCCGATCGATAGGTCGATGCGAAGCAACGACGACGAGATTCCCATAAGACTCGCAGGGAAACGCTGATTACTGTTCGCGTAATTGCGCCTGCTCATGAATCGGGATGTGGCCGTTCGGATCGTGGTAGCGAGCCGCGGAGTAGGTGGCGGTGGAGTGGAATGAGGAGGGACGTGGACGGTAAGAGGGGCGACGGGCGCGGGGTGAGGTTCGGCAACGGGTCGGTCGGCGGGTTGAGGAGTGGAGCTCGGTGGGGAAGATGGGGAGGCACGGAGCCGAAATCAGCAGCCTCCGGACGTCTTATAAAAAAAAGAGTGGACGAACTCGCGCGTCTCTCGGGCGAATCGAGTTTTTTCTTGGCGATCGCACGGCGATGCAGTGACGTCAACGGGCCGCGCCGCCGCGAGAATGAGAGAAAGAGCAAAGAGATGTGAAAGCTGAGTCCGACGGCGACGTAGGATTATGCGTAGTACCGACGCGAACTGCATGCTTCCCCCCCCCACCCCGTTTACCCCTCGCCCCGCACCATCCCCTTCCCCATCGCCCCATCTACCCGTCCCCCGTACCCCGACCCCTCGCCAAGCCGCACGACTCCTCATCATCAGCCCGCCGCGCCGCGCCGCGCCCCCGCCACTCGAGGTCGCTTTTATTGCTCAGCGCGAGCTTACATGGACAATCGGCGATTTTAGAAACGGGCCCGACTCTTTTTTCCGTCGGTCGCGTCAGGGAAAAATTAAAAATTGTATGAACGGACCCATCGGGCTGTCAAGGAAATCAAATTTTTAACGACTCGCGTTGCCTCCTCAAATTAGCCAAAACCCTCGCTTATTAAGTACGGGCAAAGTTGTTCAACGTACTGGCCGCTCGCGTAACGCAGATTCAATAAATAATAACCGACGAGAAACCTTTAATGCCCATAGCTTTGATTTTTTCATAAGCCAATTGTATCGATTGATCAGCTACTATTGTAAATAAGCTTTCTGCCTCCGATTGCTTTCCTTTCTTCTCCACGACACCTTTATGTACGCTGGTTTTTATGTATTTTTTATAAAGCTATTTGATATGATTGAATTAATTGCGAGACTCTTTAAATTAAAATCGCATATTATCTGTTATACTTGTAGTACTGGATTTTCTACTCAGTTACAATTTTAATAATATTAGCGGATATTGTTAATGTTAATGAATACACTTACCAATTAACGATTATACCGGCTGAGTGATTATTCTTCTTTTTTTTTTTGTAATGTGATAAATATATGAATGTCAAGTTAAAGAATTATTTTGCATGTATAGTTGAATAACTTTTATGTGAAGTCAGATTACAGATTAAAATGTAGAATTATATGTTCATAAAATTTAAGATGGTTGGAGATTATACGTGATTTTTCCTCGCTGTACATTATAAATGTAATAATTGGTGAGCTTTATTTTAAAGTTCGTATCTCGTATTCAACTGGATTATTTATAATTGAATGAACAAATTTAACTGTAAAATTAGATATTAACTGTTATTAGGTAAAGGATTTTATACATTATTATAATTCAATCCGTTTGACCGATTTTAAAATGAGTCAATAACAATGTAAGAAGATTGAACGTTGAAGCACACTGCTAACCCTCGTGTTTAATTATAACATCAATACGACTTATTTTATAACGTGAAACATTATTTTGTTTAAGCATAAAATCACGAATAAATGCCTATTTTATATTTGGTTAAAAAAATAATAAAATAAATACATTTGTAAAGTCAATTCTCATACAAAAACTAGTTTGACTTTATGTGATAGACACGAAGTGCATACTGGGATCATGGTTATTTAATCTTGTAACGTTACTTTTTCAATTATTATTAATCTGTAAAATATTTAATAATAATCTTTATATTAAGTATGACCAAGTCAATATATATATATATATATATATATTGACTATATATTGATCTATATATATATATATATAGATTATTTGTCTTTTCTTTGTAAAGAGTGGAATTCATTTGTAAGTATACGATTGCACGAGCATTAATATCTACTTACTTCTTCATCTTTCTTTATGGTATTTTTATCGAATACTAAATATTATTAATTGCCGATAACAATGTCGTTAAAATATTAGACTATTTAGAGGTAAATTCGTCGACGTATAAGACATACTACATATCATTATCAAGTTATATTGGAATATATTTATAATGCGCACGATTGCATTTCAATTGCAAATTAATTTTGTATTACTTAAGTTAATCGGTAAATTAAGGAAATTCAATTATTCGACATTGAAAAGCCTTTAGACATAAAATTAAATATACAAACGACTTTGGAATCATTGATTTGATATTTGTCCAGTACAGTTGCATGTCATTGTTGTAACATTGTTTATTATTTGCATTTCTTATTTGATTTAGAAGGTGTCGGAATTTAGAAGGTTGATGTTAATACTTTTTTAATTTCTTAATAATGTTAGTTTGTCGGTTGACAGTATGCAATCCGTTATTTAATTTTTCAAACGCAAAATCATCACCCATTAAGGCATACAAAAAAATTACTCTTCAAAACTCGTAAATTAATTTTGAATTAATTACATTTGACCGTTGTAGCTATTGTTTTAATGCCAAATATATTTTATGTTGAATGAAATTCACGAGAGAAAACATTCCGAGTCGTTAAAAATGGTATATTAAATTATTCTTGAAGAAAAATATATAACTTTACTCGTTGAAAAATACGCAAAACAATTTTGCGAGATATTTTATTCTGACTATTATGTTCAGGGTGCAAAATATGATTTGGATGCAGCATCCAAAAAAGTAACGAAATACTTTAATACTGTAAATACTTGCTCCGGTTCTTGTAAAATTCTTTTCCAATGAAATAGTCATTATTTCATAATGCTCGAAATAAAAATTACTTTTTGAATCAGTTTTTTATTCAAAGTTCACCTCTTCTATCCCCTCCATCTTTCTCTATTGCACGCGCACGCACGCACACACACTCTCTCACTCACTCAGTCTCTCACTCACTCACTAACTCACTCACTAACTCACTCACTCGGTTAATATGTGAGGTGTGCTTTCAGGCGTGTTGGTGTTTATTATTAGTCCGAGGCAGCGTCGCTACGTAATGAACAATTGTAGAATTAATAATATTGTTTGTACAACTAATGTAGAATATGACAACAGAGTCGTACCAATAACGGTAGAGAATGCTTTGTTGAATAATTTTGATAAAGCTTGAATATGAAATTTAATACTCTTTCGTCTTCCATATTTCATTTAATTCCAATGTATTGGGCTAAATATTCGGCTCTCGGGATATTTGAGCCAATGCTCCTATTGAGTCACAATATATATATAATAAGGACTCCGCATTACGGTATTCGCCATCGCGCCATTTTCAGTGATAACGATCGAAGAAATAAAACAACGACCGATGCAAAGGTGCGTGAAATTCCTGTCCGCTTACAGTGAAAGCACATTCCCATTAAACTCCAAAGCTAGAGAGGTAAATATCTGCCGCCTGGGTCGTCCCAAGTCCCGGCATCGTCAAACACGCCGCCTACGGTCCCGATTAAATCGCTACTAAAGCTAATGTTTAATTTCGCAAAAGAAGCGGCCTCTTCCATCAGCTCGGCACTTATGGAAAAGCCAACGGAGCGCGTCCCTGGCCAAAAGGTCCCGAAGGGCCACAAAAGCACGCGCCAAGGCGGCCGCGACTCATTAGTTCACAATTCGAGGTTCCCAAAGAGGAGGGACGCGGTGAGCGACTCGAGCACGCGAAGCCGGAAATATGCATGGGAACGAAGAGGGTTGGAGTCGGAGAGGTGACGTGGAGCTCGCGAGGAGGCAGCCCCGAATTGGATCCCCCGTATCCCGAACGCACCTGGATGTACCGTAGCGCAAGAAAAGGATCGGGAGGCGGTGGCCCGATAGCATTTGGACGCGGTCGATCGGCGTCAAAAGCGTCGATTAATTTTCAGATAAAAAAGCGGTGGTAGCGCGTAGCACGCGCACGCGAGCACAACCGAGTAATATATTCGGGCGCGATTGGCTCCGAGAGTCGCTCGCGCCTTCACAGCATCTCGCGCACGGGGGATGTAGCGGTGACGATGGCGGGGTTGGTTGATTGAACGGGGGCGGTGAGCGAGAGGAGCGGAGTTATGTTAGGATTTTGGTGGGATGGGGGAGTAAGGCCGCGATATGGGGAGGTGGGCAGGGGGGCAACCGAATGGAGGGTTACACGAGGAGGAAAAAATGCCCAACCCCCGCCGCTTACAAGTTGAAACGGCGTGTGCGTGCGACATAAAAAAAGTTAGTAGGCGCAACGGCGACGGCGGCTCCGACGACGACGTCGCCCTCTATGTTCCTCAGCGGCTGCGCAGCTCTCGAGGGCGCCACCGGTTCATTCCCCTGCGGGCGAGCGCGAGCCATAGACGCGCGTGTGTGTGCATCGCAGTGAGTTCGAGATCGTTTCTGTAGGGCCTCTCTCACTCCCTGTCTATCTCTTTTTTCTTCGTTTCTCAATCTACCTGTTTGTCTGTCTGTCTGTCTGTCTGTTTGTCTATCTGTCTGTCTGCCTGTCTGTCCGTCTCTCTGTCTAACTCGCACACGCGCTCACGACCGCTATTTCATTCTCTCCCTCTCTCTCTCTTTCTCTCTTCACCCACTCACCTCTGTCCATTTATCCATTTGCCCGTCTCTCTTTCTCTCTCTCCCTTTCTCTCTCTCTCTCTCTCTCTCTCTCTCTCTCTCTCTCTCTATCTCTATCTCTCTCTCTATCTCTATATATATATATATATATGCACATACACGCACATATACGTGCATATGTGTGCTTATACACTAACGCATGTACACATGCGTACATACGTGCGTGTATAGGTAAATATATCCTTCTCTTTCTCTATATCTATCCTTTAGTCTCGCGCTTTCTCACTCTAGCCGACTGCCCCTCACTGGCTAGGCGAACGTCCTCGAGTCCGTTTTCAAGCAGAGGCCAGCCGCGTCGTCGTCAGTGTGTCCTCGAAGGAGCGCGAGGGAGTTTGAACCGCGCGAGCCCGCGTAATTAGTCGGGATACGTAGAAAAACCACCGCTGCTGAGAGAATTAAGAGGACGAAGACAGTCACCGTGGGTCCTCCGACGGCCGATGCAGCCAAGTGTTGCCAGTGCGTGCTTTTTTGTTGTTGAACAACCCCTGAACGCCGCCCCTAGGTCCGCCAACTACAGTGTCGCCTGCAGTCCCTGTGCGTGAGCGGCAACCCGTGGGGAGAAAAGCCAGAGGCGGTTCTTGCGCGGGAGGCGGAAGAGGAAGCGCCGATGTGCCCTGCCGCTTTCCCAGGAAATCTGAGGTGCTGAAGCTCACCGAGGTAATAAGACGGCCATTCCGACGAGCATTATTTTACCTCTCACGCTCTCTCTCTCTCTCTCTCTCTCTCTCTCTCTCTCTCTCTCTCTCTCTCTCTCTCTCTCCCTTTTTTTCCCTCCCCTCCTTTTTTTCCCTCCATTCCCTCCCTCCCGCTCTCGTTCATCTTACTTCTCCTCTACCCCTCTCTAACTCCCTCCGTCGCTCGGACTCTCGTACTCGCTCTCTCTCTCTCTCTGTCTCTCTCTCTCTGTCGTTCTCTCACTCTCTCGCTTTCTTTCTCTTGGCTGCTCGCACCTACCTACCTACATAACGGGAAAAACGAAGGCGCTCACAGCGCAGTAATAGCATCGAGAGTTAGGTTAGCGAGACGTTCGACAGCGTCAATAACTCGGTGAAGCGAGTGCGACGGGGACGGAACGAAGGAGCGTACGAGTTTTTTTCGCAACGCTGTTTCCACGGGATGAGAAAGACGGATGATCGAAGGACCGATCCTAGGAGGTGACCGGTAGCCCGCGGCTAGTACACACTGTCGGCATACCAAAATAGCGGCCGCAGGATCGTGCACTCACCAACGACTGGCCTCTGTGGACGGGGGTCCGGGGGAGGGGAAGGACCCGCTCGTATTTTGGGCGCAGGGTGGCGACGCTCCGAGGAGGAGACGCTATTAACGTCCGCCGTCCGGAATAGCCGCACAGCTGCTGCTGCTGCTGCTGCTGCTGCTGGTGACATTGCTATTACGATGGCTTGCGGCTTTTCGCGCATTGCAGTCATACGCATAGAAACACCAACTTACACGCAGGCACGCACAGACACTAGAATCGTCGAGGGTCCCTCGAGTGCGTGCTCACGGAGGAAAACAAGTCGCGCGATCTTTGCCTCGGCGCTTCCGGGAAAACGCAGGCCCGCGAGCAACGGGGAGGGGGGGGGGGACACCGATGGTTCCACACTCACCACTGGATACGTCGCTTACCCGCGGATACCATTCGAGACTGACCCGCGACAGACGACACCTCCGATGATAAATGACCATCTACGCACCGCTACTCTGCCGGCTAATTGCGAAGCACTCGCCTGCATAATTATACCATTGCCATCTATCCAATTGGATGAATTATTTAACATTTCGACGCATCGATCATTTATTGGAAGAGACAGTGGGCGCTAGTACGCGCGAGGACTGGTGGATCTCCGTCGGCCTCGGATGTCGTCCCCTCGCTTAGACTCCCAAATTCCGAGGGGCTTGGGTTGGGTCTCATAACGCTAAAAGTATGTTTTATAATGCAAGGCTCGTTATCCGAGCGGATTTTAACGAGGAATGCTCAATCTGCTGCCCGAGATTAAAATAACCTTCGGGCGAAGCTCGAAGCCGACGACGATGCGCTTAAATTGAGAAAATATCGCGACACTGCAATGTGCGCGCATATATGTCCTAATATAGTTTGTCGCGCATGTTTGGTTGAAGAAAGTAGCGTTTGTTGGACGGATTATTTAGCGAATCGCTTGTAATCGCATCTGTAGAGTCTCGTGTTTATTAAAGTCCCTTGCCCCTACTCGATAATTATTTCCCTAATATCGCTTTGGAATTGTCCTCTTATCGGTCGGTCGTTCTATTATATTATTACCGGCACATTGTTTAAGTTATAATGATTGAGTTAAAGTCCGATAATGTAGAGTGGAACCTTGGAAGAGGAAGAGCAAAATAATTCGTCTTGTAGGCAAATGTCGTGAGCGCTAAAATCATTTGAGAATTATGATTCATAAGTCGTCGATTAAAGAAAGCGCTGCGCACGTAATGCCAAACAATTTTTCATACTTTCACTCGCGTGCATTGTGCCATGAGACTCGTACGTTCGCACTGATCTCACAATTAAAAGGCAAACATTGATTTCCTTTTGTTGTTCGGCCCACTATTATGAGGCTTTGTTTATCGCCGAGTCCCATTCGTCGGAAGCTCGACGCGACGTCATAGCCGTTTATACAAATTGACTATTAAGATTATATAAGCTCGCTTGTTTTATAATTAGTCGGGAATCGCACTATAATCTCTTTAAAATGTAAGTTGGTCAAATAAGTCGATGCGAAAGCTAAGTCGCGTTCGTGAGTTAAGAAAATTGATTAGCTAGGAAATGGTTGATAAACTTGCTCGCTGGCTGCTCGCCAATTTCATGAAAATTGATCTCGAAGGAGAATAATTCATGAAGAAGGTTGGCAAATGCCGGCAACTTACGTCCTTAGGAGACACCATTCGCGCCGAAATGCATCCGGCAGCGCATCGATGCGCCAAGATGGCACAGTAGATGTCGAGCACAGGATAGGCAAGACAAAGCAGAAGGGCGTATCATTTACGTGTAACAAGAAAAGAGGAAACTTTCGGCGAATTGTATAAACGCTGGGAGCGCGGAAAGTGGTTTCTATTCTTCTAGATTTGCGGACAAGGCTTGTGCGAGTCGAGGCGAGAGACTAGAGCTCGGAGCGAGCGAGGTAGAAAGAGATAGAGTGATAGAGAGATAGAGATAGAGTGATAGAGAGATAGATAGAGAGAGAGAGAGAGAGAGAGAGAGAGAGAGAGAGAATATACATATAGTGCGAGCGAGTGAGATGGCTAAAAGCCTTTCCCCTCCCAACCCGCCACCGATTCCCTCTCTGTCTCAACGGGGCGAGGAGTAGCCAAAAACCGATTCGTCCCCCGTACCGAGCAAGGACGGTTGGCGGCATCGATCCGTTTTTTCTCGCTCTCTCCCTCTCTTTCACTCACTCGCACACACGCGCTCTCTCTCTCTCTCTCTCTCTCTCTCTCTCTCTCTCACTCCGTCCTGACAAAGCCTTGAAGCCATTTCATCGGCAAAAAGAGAGCCGCCCGAGAGCTCACGCAAGCCAGAAAGAGCTGAGAAAGAGAAAAAACGAGCGCGGGAGGGTGGGGCGTCACGATAGGGGCCAAGGGGTGGGGGAACGATAGAGAAAGAGAGGAAACTTTTCGATAGACGTTTCCTACGACGAGGGCAAGGAATCGTCGAGGAAGACAGATAAGGCGAGGCAAAGATAAAACTACACCGGCGTCGTTAAAAGGGTTAATGAAAAGTGACAGGGCGGCGGATACGATGTGCGCCGCTTACCTTACTCTACTTTATTAATCTATTTACCAGGCCAAATGCATACCTGAACATATCCTGGCGATCGGAATATTAATGAGCCGCGAATTACATTGCCCCATCGTCTAAAGTTTTGCCGAATGTTAAATGGCTAATTACGATAGTGTCGTCTTGTGCTTATCGACACTTCTCATAACAGCCAATAATATGTTTCGATTCATTATTGCTCGCAAAATTCAGAGGCCCTTTTTTATCATGGGAAAGCAAGCAAGTTTTTTCCTCAAGTCGCACCCCTCCGCAACCATTGAGAAATCAGCACTGCGACTCGTTTAAGTGGATCTCCTGGTAGAAAAGTGTCGGCACTTTATTCGCGTGTGAATCTTTCGTTTATGGATTATGTCGACTCGTCGAGTCGACTAAAATTATTTACACAAATTAGAACGCGTCATCTCATCGTGGGGAATTTTTTAAATTGTTCAGTAAAGCTGCATCGATCGCAATTGTAAAATCCAGATCAGTCAAATTCAGTGGAAAAGATTATTCGAAGAACGAGGCCAACCTGGATTTACAGTACAATAAAAAAAAAAAAAAAAAAAAAAAAAAAAAAAAAAAAACAACCATTCGCTAATATGGTTCGTATTAACTAAAATAATTTCACAATATAATATGCAGAAATGTAATCGTACAGAACAAGTCGTATAATATTGTAGTGCACAATTCAATTATCAATATTTTTTTTTGTGAACAATTTGAAAAACAAAATTGTCGTAGTTAACGAGAAATACAAGTAAAGTATATGAATAATAGAAACAGCGATATTCATCAATTATATAGTTCGTTGCAGTATTAAGGTTCCTACATAGTTATTAATTAAATGGAAACTTTCAATTTATGAATACACTTCCTAACCTTAAAGTGTTTTTTTTTTATTTTAATCAAATTATCTCTCTATTCCTCCCTACCTCCTTCCCACGTCAAGTGTTGCATATTTAATTTACATGCTTCCATTCAGTCGTTCGTTCTATAAATTCTTTTGAAATTTAATTAGAAAAATCAGTCTTCGTTTACCGTGCATTTACACGAAATATATCGTTTTATTATGCTATAAAAGCATTTATTTCACAAAAATTACATACACTTTGACAGATGAAAAGGTGAGTTCTCAAATAAATCCATAGCCGTTGTAATAATATCCAGTTTTTTTACCAAAAAAAATGAAAGAAAGGAAAAAAAGAAAAGAAAAAAAGGAGAGAGAGAGAGAGAGAGAGAGAGAGAGAGAGAAATTAGGGCAAATTAACTTTTCCTTCCTCAAGTAATTATTGACCTCGGAATTAATGCCAGCATAACTGCGCCAAAACTTTCAGAATTTGAAGTAAAAGATTAAGTTGTTAGACGAAAATCAAGTTTAGAAATAAGTCAAATTTTTCTTCCCAAAGTCATTATTCATTCATGAAAATCTGAAATTATATACAGACGTAAAAAAATGTTAATCGAGAACCTTCTCGTACTTGACACTGGTAAGTTGCTATGTCTTTTAGCAACGCCTCTGTGCGAACAAACTCGCTATTTTTATCTTCTCGTTTTCCAAGACTACTACGGGCCAAGTAAACGTCAACCTTCCATCTGCAGTACTAGTAAGAAGAAGAAAAAAAAGAAGAAAAAAACATTACCGCGACGTTACAAACTGATTCGAGGAGATTTAGTTGTGCCGGAGTTGTCCGATTATGTTAGGGAACTTTGTAATGTGTTTAAGGTGCCTCGCGAACACTTTGTGACTTACATTCAAGCGCTTATTTCCTTGTTTCTTCAATGTCGAAGATACGGTCGAATTTCTCATACGTCATTCTTATTTAGCATATCTCGAAGAACGTATAGCGACTTGTTTTATATACGAAATTGGAATGAGCTTTTT